CAAAAGAGGCGCCCCTCACGAGGGCTGTGGCCCCTCGTTAGGCCACAGCGCTTGTTGCCACTCGTATTCCACGTCTTCAATTGCGACGTTTTTCTTATAATTCACATATTAAATATAATTTTTGAAATTCTAATATTTTTATACTGAATTTTTGCCAATTCGAGTAATGTACATCCACTGCATGAAAATTGTTATAATCTACAACAAATGAATGATAATTTGAATGATATACATCACGATTAATGCTCTGCTTCAAACGATGTTGTTTAAATTAACTAGGACCGTTAAATTGGATTGAAGAACCCAATTCTTTTTTAAGCAAAAAAAGTTATAAGTTAACGGTTATTAAAGTTAAACAAAATTTAGATCATTAAAAAAATGAAAATGGATAATTCAAAATGTATATTGTTTCAGTTGTCATATCAACGATGCTGTCAACATTTCCGTGTGAACGATTTTGTCAACATTTCTTGTCAACGATGCTGTCAACATTCTGCGTTGACGATGCTATCAACATTCTGCGTTAACGATGCTGTCAGCATTATGTGTCAACGATGCTATCAACATTCTGCGTCAACGATGCTGTCAACATTCTGCGTCAACGATGCTGTCAACATTCTGCGTCAACGATTGTACCGCTCACGTTCTTCCACCAGCTTCATGTCCGTGATTGTTCAGTGGGAGGTAACACTGAACAATCTGAGGTAACATTGAACTTTGCTGGGAGGTAACACTGAACTATGTATACTGAAAGAAAGACATTATTAATGAAATTATTTTGCCTAATTACCTAAGCAATTTCAACTGATGTTTACGCCTAAGTTTTCGTTTACGCCCAAGTTTGAGCTTGAGTTTCTGAACAGGAACCGTATATGAAATCATGGAATTGCAAATGAATTCGTAAGCATTTACATATCAGCCACATGTTTACATTTTATTCGCAAAATAAAATCCTTATGGAACTGCACTCATCATTAGTAAACGGAGCGTCGTATGATTTACAGAAATGCACGATATTCATACACGGCATTTAACGAATACGAAAAAAGTAACCATTGAAAGCCATGCGTGTGCATGATAGGTGCCAAACTCTGTACGTATGATCATAAAGCGCAGAAAAGCACATGTATATAATGTCCTTGCTCTCTTGCATGTAGGAGGTCGCTATTATTATAGGAGGTCCCTACAATTCTCGGATATCTCACAGAAAGGAGTGGTACCTTACCACAAGGCCTGGCGCTATAATGTCAAAAACAATTAAGAGTCCATATAACTCCGCCAGCAAATCTCTGACGGCTTCTCAATCTAAACCTACCAATCACAGACGAGAAATCGGCCACTACGTGAACTTAGGTCACTGCATTTACTAAGGCCGCTACGTCCTCTTAGGCCGCTGCATTTACTAAGGCATCCGCGTGAACTTAGGCCGCTGCATTAATTAACTAAGGCATCTGCGTGTACTTAGGCTGCTGCATTTACTAAGGCATCTGCGTGTCCTTAGGCTGCTACATTTACTAAGGCATCTTCGTGTACTTAGGCTGCTACATTAACGAAGGCATCTTCGTGTACTTAGCCTGCTATACGCATACTAAGCCGCTACGAGTACCTACGCCGCTGCATTTACTAAGGCCGCTTCGTGTTCTTAGGCCGGCTACATGTACTCAATTATGCGAGTTTTGATAGTACGATCCTTGGGCCCTGATCGCCGCGGTCATGTCGCAACGTAATTAACGCAGCCTCGTTCCCCTCCTGGGGCCACATGCGGCATTTCCTTCCCATCGCGCGCGTGCAGGAAACGCGGCGCGAGCCTTCTCGACTTCATTGATCATCTCGTGAACTTTGTTATCATTGACATGTTTATCACGGATATGTTTGTTATCACTGACATGTTTGTTATCACTGACATGTTTGTTATCACTGGCATGTTTGTTATCACTGACATGTTTGTTATTACTGACATGTTTGTTATCACTGACATGTTTGTTATCACTGACATGTTTATGGTAGAATTAGTCCAATGCATAGAAATAATTGTGTCCGGTTAAGAATAATGCGGCCTGTCTGCTGCTTTCAATAAATGGAGATCCAGTATAGCTGGTCATTGCCTGTATATGATATTTTTTCAGTGTTCCATGCACCTTACCTAAGGTGATTTAATGTCATGCCTTCGAATATTACAGTTTAAATTGTCCAATTTGAGCATTATTATTATGAGTCAATATAAAACAAAAATTAAAAATTTTCTTTATACATTTAGGCTGCTATAAATAGCTATATTTATCAAACTTTTATGCCTACTCGACTGGAATTCCAATGCCACATCCTGTTTCCGTTTCAGACTGCCCATGTGGGATGTCGGGTGAAGGGTGACTTGTTTAATTTTTTATTTGTTTCGGAGGTCGTGAGTTCGCATTTCTTACTGCTCAGATTTCTTGGCATTTAATTACCAAATGCATGAATATTCAATGAAAAGAAAAGCGACATAGTTATTATAGTAAGAGCGGTTTTTTTATAGTAATTGTTAGTGTTTTTGAGACATGGTATTTTTCTCATCACGTGACAGGTTCATCAGGAAGAAAAATAGGTACAGATCCAATTAAAAAATGTTCTCTTTTTAAACATGAAAAATTAACAGGAAATGCATATAATAATTTCGTGATCCGTGCGTCATTTGGGATAGGTAATGCGCGTGATTTGAGAAATCCTTTTTATCAATTCATCGCAATTAATATCCAACTAATTATTTGGACTCAATTTTTATTTTATACTAGCAGTTTAGCTTCGCATATTTGGCGGGTTCAATAATCGCTGCAATTTCAGAATCTCGCATTCCCGAATTCGTTATTAACAATAAAATGGACACATGATAATTAAAAGAAGACCTGTTAACCTGTTAAAACTTACATTTTGAATAAAAAATATATAGATATCCCATTGGACTCCTGTCAAATATATCCTAAACAATTATGCGTCTCGTAAATTAAATTCATACATGAAAACTTGGAAATCAAATTTTAAATTTTTCACCCAGTCACTTCCTCGCAGTTATGCAATGCCTTGCTATTCTCCCAATAGAATAAATTATCTGGTCAAGGTATTATCCCGACACGATAAGTAGCCTGGATACGTATTTAAATAGCCTAAATATATTTGCGATAAAAGGCTTCACATTCTAACACACAAATTAGACAAATATGCATACAATAAAATTTGAATCATCATTAATTTCAAATCCTACACAACCGGCATTGAAAAATAAGAGGTCGAATTGCCCCAAGAAAGTTTGTGTCCGAAGCGATGAATTATGAATAAATCCAATGTAACTAACGCATGAATTTGTCTACAATGCTACCGCTAAGCAATAAAAACGGTTTAACTATACCAATATTAATCGTGATCATTCGCACTTCTATTCAAGCACTTAAATGTGCAGAGGAAAGTCATAGATTTCACTGAGCACCTCAAAGTAGGCGGTCAAAGTTGCTGGGCTGAAAATCCCTGCCAATTTGTGAAGGAGAGAACTCAGCATCCCTCCGACATACCTCGCGGTCTAGGTTTTGAATTTGATGCATGAACAGTGGCAATATGTTTGGTGTCCTATTTTGTCTTGCTGGGTTCTACGGCTGCGAGAGGCTAACTACGCGAAAATTATTAAGACACACTGAAATAAGCCTGTTAATTCAAAATATGCCTGCTGTTTGTTAGGCTTATGTGAAGAATTACTTTAGGATCAGTGTGAAACTATTAAGTAACCAACATCAGGGTAGGGGAATGTATCACAAGTGATAAGTGTCTGATACAATTTTAGCTAATCATTAGAAATTTAGGAAAAGTAAATAAATATATTTAGAAAAGTAAATAAGACAACTCCAGCCTGGAGTTAAAAAACGGTGTGTAAAATTCGAATGCATTGAAACGACGAAGGAAGTGATAGCCCCTAAATATATTTTTCCAGCTCAATCTTGGTGTCACAATTTCGAGCATCACAGTCCAAGTTGAATGACTGCTTGGCTGAGGTCCTGCAGCTACTCAATTGCTATTTGTGAGCACCATGTGTTTCCTCCTGGTCAGTTGCTTGCTCGACACCCCAAAATGATCAGAGAAATAATTCATTCTGGGGCGTCATCCATGGGAAATCGGTTGGAGACTAATCCGTAGGTCTGTAACTTTTTTCAGTCATGCAGTTCTTATCTCTTTAAGTATGCTAGTGTGTCTGGTTTTCAATTTCATGAACACTTGAAGACGCAATTATCGTTGTTTCAATTCGTCTTTCCATTAGTCCTCCATAAAAAGGAGATTTCGTTCACCTTTAAACTCCTTCCATCCTTAGTTTTATTTATCCGTTGAAGTGGGCAGCGGTCAAAATGTGCCAGTTCACTGGTATGATATATACGTTCAGGTCATCCAATTATATGGGTGAGGAAATATATAATATATGTACGTACAGGTATAAACTTATTTGTCATACATTTCCTGTAGAGTGCGACCCGCGGTTCGATTTTAAAGCGAGTTTTGATTTTGAACTAAATATTATCGAGAGGCACTATTACTGGCCAGAGCCGAAAATCTTTTTGGTTTATTCTCTGCCGTGAAACTTATATCAAGAAAATTCAATTCCCAAACGCACTTTCGATTCTTTAAGACGCACTTATTAAGCTTCGCGTTCTTAACTTATATGAGATGCTCGATCCTCTGCCCAAACTGATTTTTAAATAATTACAAACGACCTATTGAGGAAGTAAAACAATTGGATAAATATTTGTATTCAATAGCTGTCAAACATTCATGAATCGAAAGTATTGTTGAAAATCATCGTGAATAGAAGAAGCTTCAGAAACTGACAGATAGCATAATGGCTCATTGACAAGCCAATCTTTGACGGTTAAGAGACGTAATTCTAACGGGGAGTTGCACTGCATTCAAGTTCAACGAGCGCAAATTTGTTGAAGAACAAATGGCAGGCGCATCGTGCGTCTGGCATCTAAACTTATCTACACACTCCACAAACTGCCTGCGTGGCCAGTTGTCCATGATTTGGTTGATAGTACAGGTGTCCGTTGCTTGAAGTGTAATTTTTGGAAAATATAGTATAATTGCAGGGTAGAAAAGTACTCAAAATGGGTCGTCTGAAGGGCATTCCAGACGCACTGTCACCCGACATCCTTCATCTGCTAGCAGTCACTGGGCATGGAGACCAAATCGGTTAGTGCTGTCGCCGGCGAGGGGCGTTGGGGGGTAGGAACATTCAAGGGTTCGGTTGCACGAATATAATTGTGTGAATTAAGCTGGTAGTGTTAACTTCAAGACATTCGTTCAGCTGAGTCTGGCACATTTCCGTTGGTCTTGATATGTCATTGAAGGTCGCCGACTAATGATAAATGATAATTTGAAAATAAGTTTCTATCATTTCAGACGTTATTATTGCAAAATAAAGTCATGTTATTATTAATTGAGGACCATTATTATAAGCACTGTGCGTGTCTAGATTTTGAGCACTACCGATACTGGGTATTAAAGGCTACAGGTACAAACAGCTTTGTACCTGCAACACTAACAGATATCACGAACCACCCTGTCTGCATTAGTAGGTAATGTAATCAAATAGTTCAAAATAATGTTAACATATCAAAATAAGGCAAGTCAATTATACGCCAGTTAAATGATATACGGTAGTTATTGTAATAGAAAGCCCATCACATACATCGGAAACCTGATTCTGTATCATATTACTGGAACATAAGGAAATTTCAGCCGAAAATATTAACCTTGACCAAGGATAAAAATAAAATGTAGGTATATGACGATTGCTTTTATTGTGATCGAGTTCTATTCTCTAGTTAATCACACATTTGTTTATCTAACATTTCAGACAGTTTACTTCGCCTGATAATGATAAATTTGGGTGCATTCATTGTTTAAATAAACGAAAATGATGATTTGATCGGTGACAGTAAGGTTTTATTGTCATGTTCAGCTGATCATATATTCCCCTTAACATTCTTACATCAAAGTAGTCCAATAATGCCACACGCACTGCAACGTTCGGTTATGACAAGTAGTGATGCGATGGGATAGCGATGTAACGTTTAGTTATGACAAGTAGTGATGGGATTGCGATGTAACGTTTAGTTATGACAAGTAGTGATGGGATTGCGATGTAACGTTTAGTTGTGACAAGTAGTGATGGGACTGCGATGGAACGTTCAGTTATGACAAGTAGTGATGGGATTGCGATGTAACGTTCAGTTATGACAAGTAGTGATGGGATTGTGATGTCTTTTTTTTTATTATCTGGCCAGTTTTCCTTCTCTCAAACTCCATGTTAGTCAGACGCTCCTTGAGTTTTGAACGGCGATGACAGGCATGCGATGGACCCTCTTGCCTCGATTGTATGCTAAACAGACGATGAAACTACGCTGCGGGCATAAGCAGACACTCCTGAACTCGTCCCAGTGTTTCTATGATGGATGACTCAGACTGAAGGTGAAATTTACGGTAAAATCTTCAAAATTTACGTAAAAATGTAAGAAAAATTAAGGGTAATCAATTTTTACTGATGCATCTGCCACTTAGATATATTTTCGTGAACGTTACTCTATGTAGAAGAATAAATTTGCGGTTTTCCTTCAGTGTGAAGTTTGAATGAAGTTTAGAGCTATCCCTTAGGCGCCGCTCCTTGGCTTCCGGGTCGTGACCTGCATGATGCAAGAGCTTGCTAGGCTCAACAATGTAGTATTAAAGCTCGTGTATGTTTTCCTTAACTTTACCGACATGTTTAAGCATCGTTGCGATATTAATTTTTTTTTTCAATTTCATCACGTGGAATAGATTCGTTCCAATCATTTGACTTCGCTTTCCAGGCAATTTCTTTGAAACCGAGCTCTGTTTCGTAGTATTCCAGTGATGAACTGCAAGCTCATGAATATATATATATATATATGCGTACCAGTCAATATATTACGAAATTAGTTTCGTCTCTCTTCTTACCGCGCGGCCTGTCGGGCGCTTGCATCAAAGAGTTTGGGCCTTTGGGGAGCGCAAGTTGTTAAGACTCCTTGAGATGCCAGAAAATCTCGGTCGGGGAAACAATCGCGACTCTGGAACTCTAATTTAAAGTGAGCTAAACGTGACACTGGCGGTGCCACTTTGATCACCTGGATCGAGTGTCGGACTTTCTGAGTGAGAACGAGGTGTTGGACGGCGATTATTCAGACATGTTGAGACCATTATCTTATATACTTGCTGCTTTGTGTTGCCAGATGAAGCGAGGCCGCTACCGTTGCGTTCGCCGCGATCACCGACGCCTTGTTAGGTAAAACACAAAAACTGGGAATCCGCCTCTTCTTTAGTCTCGCCGCTTATGGAAATATAGTCTTCTATGACCACAAGTTGAACAGACTTCAAGCCTTAGCCCTCATTATTTAAACCGATTTACGTTAACTTTATATGAATTACTCCGATTAAATCTAGATTTATCGGAATATTGTGTAGTATAAATATACTTAATTAAAGCTAATAATGACTGTCACATGTTGAGTTTTGACATCTCTCAGTGGAGAGTGTTCATTTCGCGGATTACGAGGCATTGTTTTTCATTGTGTCCCAAAAAGCATTTCAATAAACAATATCGGTTATTTTTTGCTGTCTTTAAGAAATCCAAACTATTTAAATGCTTTAATGAAGTGCTACTTTTCAGTTGAATTTTGTTCATGCATGAATAAATAGCCAACATTATAAGCACCTGCCTGCTTGTATTTTTCGAGACAAATAACAGTTTACATGCTCTCTGCGATTATTAGTTATAAGAACATGACTTTGTGATTAGATCTACAATCGTTAGAGGTTTTAGAACAATATTTGGAACTACTCCAAAGTTCCAAATATTGTCACCCATGTCAACAATTTTCTTTTCGTTTTCTATCCATCAATATTTCGAGGTATAACTACGTGAATTTGATTGTGTTTAGAATTTATCCCGACGATTGCTAAGTCTTTGAGTGCCTGCTTATTTGCATTATTACTCTTTTGTTTCATATTAATTAAAAACGTTTTGCGCCGCCCGGGAATCGAACCCGGCTCACAAGAATGGGAATCTTGCATGATACCACTACACCAGCGGTGCATACCTATTACTTATGGACATCTTTTTTTGTGATTATCCATCACCACCACTGTCAACGCCTCGCCCATATTGGAAAATTTGACTAGTTGAAACGTTAATTTTACTAAAACTCCTACCATAATTGCACACAAGTTTAATATTACAGAAGACTTTGAAGAATCTCAAAAAAAATCAGAAATACATCCGTTCTGAAAATTGTCCCAAGTTATGATCTCTCAATCTTGGTGCATTCCTCGCTGTCAGGTGCTCTTCCTGTCTCTAGTTTCTCTGTTGCATTAGATATAAAAATTAGGGTCAGTTCTTTCACACATTTCGAGACATTCGCCACGCTTGCTGTCTTTCCTCGCGCGTCAAATTTATTTTCTTGAAGGTTTCGGGGAATTTCCTCACCAAATGTTCCTTGTGAGAAAGAATTATTGCCACTTCAAAATGTTTAATTTCCTGTGCTGTATGTAGCTGAAAAAAAAACACGGGACGTATGACACTTGAGTATGTCGCTCTAATCTCGAACGAATCGCAGGTACCTAATTGCACGAGAGAAGAATTAGAAACGAACTTGTAAGATTTCATCAGGATTTGAATATCTTCCAGCATTGCCATGGTGCCTTAGCTCAAATGCTGCGATGTGTGAAACCTCGAAATAATTCATAACATTGTTCGCTTTCCCACATTTTCCCCGGGATCTCCCATTGCTTGCATTTCAGGGCAAGATGTCTAGACACAATATGGACACACGCATTCTCTGCTTTGTAATGCACGAGACTAGTGGCTTGGAATGGCGCAATTTCCTTTCCGATGTCAACCTTAATGACGGAGCGCATTCTGCGCGTGCGCGCTGGCCCACTATCCAAGACTTCATTTATACAGATTATCCCGCGCCTGAACCGTATTGCTTTACTGAACTTCACTTTCGTAAAATTCAAATGGCGTGTGAAAACTTTGTTTTTAGCTATTGATTGTTTATCACTCATGGACCTGTCTGTGTTGAGAAACTGGCGTATTCTAAAAATTTGATGTGACATCGTTATTAGACTCCATGTATGGGCACAAGAAATTTCGTATGGTGCAGTTCCTCTACTTCAGCACTTTAGCATGTATTTCGGCTGAAGATTATACCTGTACACATTTTTATCATCACTCCGCCTGTCACGTCGCCTTCTCTCGAGTTGGCGAAATGTAATCGATGTAGTCAAGAAATTTAATAATTGTGTTGTGGTCCAAAAAGTTCGCATGAACTTTTTAACTTTTTGTAAGAATGAAAGTCTTCTGAAGTCCGAATATAATAGTGACACATAGAAACTATAACACATGAGCAAGCCACTCACATTGCATCACACAAAACCCTTAGGTATCTTTGATTTTTGACATTTAATTTTCTACAAAATTTTAAAATTTTAGGTAGTTGAGCGTGATATTCTAAGGGTCTGTCTTCTCTCCTGTCCAATACCATAGTTATCTCCGGCCCTCACGACCCGACACAGTAATTAGGTTCAAATTCTTTCTAAAACGATTTTCATAAATTTACATCCTTTTTGCAATGTTTCAATTCCCTAAACATTGTACATAAGTCATATTAACCGTTGACTCGAGTAACAATAAGCCCAACTCTTTACAATTGGCTTCTATCTCCATTGTGAATTTGTAAGATTTACGTTGATAGCTGAGCTGCTGTCATAACACGATTAAGTATTCACAGTTTTCCCCAGGTATAAGTTTTTAGACTATCTATTTCTACCCTGCCGGTTTGAGTACCCATTTGGCATCGTTCCCTGCAATTGCTTAATAAGGTTGAAATTAAGCTCGTTTATTTTCTTATCGTACCAGATGCTTTCTTATTCTTACATTATGATAAAATTTTTTCAAAATTGTGGAATTTTTGAATTTTTATCAAAATTATGAACTTAGAAATTAATTCTCATATCCGTAATCGAAACTGTAACTTACATCTAAGATAATGTCGAAGAAATAGCAAGTTTTATTCATGAGATAATTCTCTAATGTAAACGTGCAATTAGTATCTTTTCTTCCACGTGCAATTTTCAATACTTTAGCAGTACCTATTGAGTGCACTGCACACACGCGGATAAACTTCACGAAACTTTAATAACAAATTAGCTGAGCATTGTGGCTGAAGTTACCGTCATGACAATCTACTCCCTCATCTACCTCATTCATATTCAGCAATGCAATGTCCCCGTGATCTATTGAGTCTTCAGTTTTGGCTCCTTCTCGTGCAAATTTTCTAAAAATTTAAAAATTAAATATTCTATGACAGAAACGCAATTCATACAAACTTTAATTGGTTATTTTATTAATTTGTCTGCAATTTTCAACTTTTTTGCTTCTTAACGTTTCATGCTTTGTCAATATAGGTTGTACATGTCCTTGCTACGTATATAGGAGATTAGTGCATATTTCACGTAACTAATTATGAATATGGTATTATCTTTTTTGAAAATATGCTAAATTTTCTTGATATTCATAAATGTATTTGCCAATAATCGTAATGACTCGCATTACAGTGAACTCGTTGCAAGATTGGCTATGTATGTTACTGGCAGTCTTGTAGCTAACCCCTTGATCGATTGTTGCCAATAAATAAATTATATTAGCCATTGAGATAGCCTGCGTGGTATCAATTTATAATAAGTTTTTTCTCTGACTTAGATTTAGTCAGACACAATTCGTGGTCGTGACGCGAGTCTTTGCCTGTTGTGCAATCGTAAGAACCCGGAGTTCGGTGTCGGAAGGGAGTTTCCATCCTGTGCTGGGATCATATATTGAAAGATCTTGACCGTCGTCATGGGTAAAATATTTTAGAGGAATGAGCTTTTCCCAGTTAAGCTTGAATCACCGGATGCATTTAATTGATATTTACTTTCTCTGCGTACGCAATCCGTCAAGAAATTATTCCTCCATCGCTTCATTTGGCCTATAACGGCCACAGCCACGGATTTTATTTGACTAACATTCAATTGCAATATTTTAGCTATATGACCTCTATATACTGTATATTTATGAAAGATTTATGAACTAGTACAGCAACTAATTTTGTGTGAAAGATCGCTTCTCGATTTGAGTTATTGATAAAAACGAAGAACACATAAGCCAAAATTTCGGGAATTTTGTGGAAGTATTGCCGTAAAATGTTACTTTTAGAATCGTTTTAAACTTGATGGATGAAAAACTTTGTATAAATGTGAACTGATGTTTCTTGTGGCTGAATATTTTTATGATAGTCTTCGTAATATCGTATTTATTGATAAATTAGATCGATTCAGTCTGTCCTGGCTGCTGTTTCATCCATCTATAAAATAACCCATACTTTAGCGATATAATCGTCCATCAATTAACTACTACATTACCTAATGCACTTGTCATGTTTCCTTCCAGTGCTTGCTGACATGAACTTCCCAACGCACAGCTTGTGCATGGGAGAGGGACGGCCTAAGGAGTACCGAGCTGATGGGGTGTCTATCTCAACACTACTGCCTGCCATCCTGCAACTCATGCCGCTGGACTGGTACCATAAGTGGCAGGTGAAGAAAACGTGTTTTGATAATAGCTAAAATGCACTGATGGAAATTGACTACTACTATACTAATTGATATGACGCGCTATATCAAAAACAAACACGATTTTAAAAAGGAAACGTCTCATTTCATTGCGAAATGTTCGTATATTAACGCTTGACAATATATAAAACTTGCTTTTGTTTTCCTCACAATATGTTGAGATATGAAAGTTTTTATTAGAAGATAAATTCGTTCAACTCAAGTCAATAAGTTAATAAATGTTGATTTGTTAGTGACTAGTATTCATCGTCAGATGGCCGTGATGGAGATGACGCCCGAGGACCAAAAGAAAAGCGGGTCCAATTTAGCGCCCGTGGTTGAGATCTACCGCGATGTGGCCAACAAGTGTGAAGGTGTTACCGACAAGTCCGTCATAATCCAGCCCATCGAGCGCTTCGCCTTCTATGAATACTGCAAATCAACCTTCGCCATCATACAAACCGGGTGCGTAAAATAAAACTAACTTCCAAAATGTACAATTTACATTATTATAATTCTCTCTTGATATAAAAAGAGTAATATTTATTGAGCGCATTTGATGATATTCATAAGAAATTTTTTTGTGAGTAATTTCAAATTGTTTGAATTTGCAGAGATACCACACCGTATGCCAACGTCATCCTGACACGAGGGGTCTGCTGAGCTTGGGACGATTTCTTCGTGCCGGCGGAGAAAATCTCAGCTGGATCGATAAAAAATCCTTTTTTTCTTGATGATAATAAATAAATGAAACACTTGCTTTTTTACTAAACATTTCCTCTAAACTAATTTTGTTCTTGACCCTGACGTGGGTGTTTAAACATGTTCGTAACCAGAAATAATAATATTTGAGCTGAGATTACATGCCAAATCTATCGCCAATTGTTATACAGAAGTGAGATTCTATGAATTGCGAACATCTATGATTCTACTCGCAGGTCCAGAATCAAATACTGCAAGCGTATTTTATGAATAATTATAATTAGTTAGAAAATGCACATCTCTCAAAAAAATGTCATCACCATAGAGGTCAAATTTTTGACAGAGATTTTCTATTATCCGTGTTTCACTAATGCAAGTTAACTTCTGAGGATACTGGCATGCTTTGATCAAGTTACACTGTTGTTGAAAAACAATCCAATAATTAAAATAACATTACATTGATGATTGACTCATTGTCGAGTTAGAACGCGAGCTGAAGGCACGAGTTATTTGTTTAGCGAGTTTGCCGACATTTATCATTTGCATTCTTAATTATTATTCGACGCGTTGAAATAAACTATATGAAAATATAGGTTCTGTACCGTTCTGAGATGCGGAGCCTGAATTTATAACTAGAGATGTGCCAGCTTTAGATCGCACAATAAATAAAAAACTTGGCCCCTGACCGAAGCGACTTCATGGAAAATCGCTGTTGGTTATGGTCGACTGGGGTTTGAGCGTGATTGTGTGTAACTGTAAAACTCGTAAGGGCTCTTGGTAGCGGTTTACCATTAATTTTCATCAGTTATAGAATAGAAGTGTCGGCGTTGAAGAAATAGGCCCATGGCTTGTTGCCGATTCTTGAACTTTTCGTGACTTGATTCACAAGGGATCCGGCCTTTGGAACCCGATCTTTCTATAGTTGGTTGTGTTTATGGGGATTTGTGGGCAGAGAGTATACGAAACACAATTTTTGTTAACGTTTGAGGACATGGCATAATTAACCCTAAAAAGTATGTGTGTAGCATCAGTAGAAATTATTTGGGGACTGATTTGCAAGAGTCAAACCGTTCAGCTATTATTTCACAAATGAAAATATGAGGATGATAAGTAATAAATAGATCGGGGTATATTTAAGTTATTGAAATTAAGTTGAGATTGAGGTAACGGACTGATTTTCAAGAGTCAAACCGGTCAGCTTTCATTTCACAAATGAAAGTATGAGGGTGATGAACAAGAAATAGGTAAGGGGGTAAATTTAAGTTTCTGAAATTAGGTAAAAATGGAAGGTAATGTCTTTCAAAAGTTGAATTTGAGAATTTTAACTGAGTTTTAATAGCAAGAGGGGGCCTGGGAGATGCACAGGATATGGGCTGAAGTTGCCTGATTAGGACTATTGGCGCCATAACTAATACAGTTTTATACTTTTTCATAATCCTTTATCAGCACGAAGTTATATGCATAAAAAATATAACTCAGTACTCACAGCAGTGAGTGACAGAGGGCGCATTTTCTCGTCGACGAAAACGTGAAGTCACGGACAGACGGACGGGCAGACAGACAGACGGACGGACGGACATGGCGAGCACAATAATGCATTTTTTCCATAAATGAGAAAATGCGCTAAAAAAAGATGTAAGAAAAAATTGGAACCAGGAGCAAAGGGAAAAAATCTGTCCTTATATTATAATGAATATGCTCAGTTATCTTCCAAAAAAGCAGCCATCCTGCTAAACAGCTGAATTGAATACTTTATCATGTTAATTTGCTTCGAAGTGTTGCTTTTTTCATCTCAAAATGAAAGTAAAAAGGCGGGAAAACTTATCTCAGCTGATGGGTGCGTGTGGTGCAATATTTTGTGACAACTCAACATTTTGTGAATATTTCAGTATTGCTCAACTATAAAATACATCTCGTAAGTATGAAACCTTACACTTGTATAGCAATAAATATTCCTGGCTATTCTCACAGAAAATACATTCTTGCATTTGGAATTATGACGTTTCTGTTCACTCTGTTGCAATGCTTGACTACTCGCTCAAGACTCGGGATTGTACCGATTGCCGATTGGTGCCGTAAGCGTACCTAACGCTAACTGCCATTTCAACTATGAAAGAACTTTTAGTATATTGATACTATATGCTAAGGTATGATATTTCCAAGGCATTCAGGAATTTTTTAGACATATTAATACATTAGGTTGCCTTCAAGCTTCAATTGTCTTGATTCTTTTTTATTTTTTAGAATTTTTAATGTTCATTTGTTTGTTTCTTTCAGGTTTGAGGTTTGCCACATCTAAGAAGTAAAATTCTTACTTTTTTTCAGAACTCTCCTTCCATCTTCAGGTTTTCTGATTGGTTTGCTCAGCTGCTTGTGAGCCTGGATTTATTTTGGTTGATCTTCATTCTCTGGCCCAATTTGAATTTGACAAGAAGATTCCTACTTCAGATTCTACAATGTCCCAACAACTTGAACAGTGGATTAAGAAACCACTGGAGGCCATTGATATCCTTTTTGGTTTGTAATATAATTTTCTATATTGTATAATTTATTGAAATTTTCTAAATTGCAATTGCCTAAAAATTGCTGATAGCAGTGATATGACTTCTTTTGCAAGAGAAAAACATTGGTTGCATTGCATTGCATGTATTCTATGTACTAGCTAAAATATCATATCCCAGCTACAATGCTGATTTCAGCAACAATGCTTAACATATTCTTATTCAATTCTGTCTCAATAAATTTTCAAACCTTTCTGGATTAAAAGCCTTGATAAGTTGATATCAGTAAAGTTTTGAAACAAATTAGGTTTGACTGCTATGTTGTTTGTCATATGAATTGAATTTCAATATCACTTTTTAAATTTGCATTTGGTCCCACTAGCTAAAACTCAAACTAGATCTATCATCTAGAAATGGTATTGAACAGTTGATCATTTACATTATCATAAAATCATTTCTAAATCATTGAGTGTGAATTATGGATTCAATCATAATTCATAGTTGCATTTTTTCTATATAGTAGGTGACTTATGCAGTATTATTTCTATGTAAATGCTGCACAAGATAAATTTATCTAACAGAGTTGCTGACATACTGCTAATTGTTATTCTCATTTGCAGGTGAACTTCAAGGACAAAAAGGCTGGACTACTAAAATTCTGGAAAAAGTTAATGAATGTTTCCACAGTGATACCCTTTTAGAGCAAGTAAGTTTTTTCATTCCTTTTTCCTGTTGTAACTGCTTTCTAATATGAATGTTTTTGCTGGGGGGCTTCAGAGTTAGACTAGTGGCGTGTGTAACACACTCTATCTGTGCTTATTTTTTTTGTTATCTGCCTCATTGTTATCTGCCTGTTATGTATTTTATCAGCTGTCTCAGTAATGTTAAGTTCACCTTAACCTGGTCTGTGCTCTCTCTTTGTTAGTGCTTTTGAAAGACTTCTCTTTAACTTCACTTCTTGATATTTAACACACTTCTACCTGTCCAATCAATCTGAAATTTTGCACACTTTCATAAAGTTGGAGACAATGCATATATCGATTGACAGAATGAAGAATTTTGAAAATTTTAAAAAAATTTTAATTTTAAAAATAAAATTAGAAATTCATTGTACATATGTAACACCGGAGACATTGGATTCTTTAGAAGTGTTGTCTTTGAAAGGTAATTTTTAAATGCGTATTTTATTCAAATATAATCTTTGATGCCAACCTCAGTTCTCAATTATTTGGTAAATGTATGGCAGACCTTGTTCATTTGATATTGTTTCCAATAAAAATGTAAAACCTTAGAGCTTTAAAACTTTAAATTTACATTTGCTAGAAGAAGGAACAAGTTGTTACTCATGGTGCGCCAAGACTCACATGATAATATTATGATATCATATGATAATATCACTGCCAATTATATATATATACTGTAAAATGGGGTTACTTTGACTCCCGGGGTAACTTTGACCACTTTATGTTTTTTTAACAAAAACCCATAAAACTCAAAAACTACTATTTGACATTGAAAAATTTTGTCAGTGGCCATTAAAGGCCTAATACTGAGGCTATGTAACACAATAGAGAGATTTAAAAAGTTTGCATATCTAATAGGTTAAAAAATTAAAAATGTGACCCATGAAAAAGAGCTATTATATTTTAATAATAAAAAGGGATAGGCAAGAGTCCTAAGAACACACTTGAGCATTATCACCAGGTAGATTATTCTTTCATTGTATATTTATGTAGGTATTGTTTTGTGTAAAATATAAAATCTGGACATTTTTCCAGGTGCCCTGCATCCCAGAAACTCCTCTTCATGAACTACAAGATGGACAACTTGTGCGGTTCAGGTTTGTACTTTCATTAAATGTAGGAAATTTATAGCTTTTTATTTCATCTCATTCTGAGATGTAATTGCTCTTGACTCTTACCAGAACATCCTTTTGTGCAAAACTGAGTGGAGTAAATGTGTGAGCAGCGCCATATTTTTCTGTCTTGCATGTCAAGTTAGTCATGGGAGTAGTTTCTTGTCTTGAGGCTCACTCTACATCATATTTGAAACTTTAGGGTCTGAAAAAATCTTGAACTTGCCAAGCTGGGCAAGGTTTGACACATCTAATATTTATCAGTGGGCTCACCTCGTATGTATTCACCAAACTTCTACACAATTCTGTTTATAAAAATTTGAGAAAATTGTAATATGAGAATTTTTAGGATATTAAATTCTGCAATTGTAGGCATGATTGCAAAGGTTATTATACGGTTAATCTTATGATTCTGTGTTCCTCAGATGCCAAGTGCAGGATCAGTATGAGCCCGAGTATTTTATTGGCAACTATGCAGCAAGAAACAAGAATGGAGAGCTTGAGAAGCACACCAGTTTCTACCGAGAGACCATTGATCAAACCGTGCGTATTGTTTTGAATTTTCCTCGCTCCTGCCTTTGTTTTGTGCTTGGGTTAGGAATCAGCATGTTTTTTTTATTGATTTAGTTGAAACTTTGCATTACTGGTATGCAAGTCAGTGACGTGCATCAGATTTTGTTTAATTTTGAACTGGAGGCATACAATACCTTGTAGACCTTTGAGTGCTATAGGTTATTATAGTGAATTTAGCTTCATTTGTGAAAACTTTAGTAACTTGATTTTTAAAAATTGTAGAACTATATGTTGCCAATAATGCAATTGATTCTGATGACAATCTTGCAATGTTCAAATTCAAAAAGAAAATTTCAGTATATATTTTTTCTTGTTATGTCTCTAAATGCACCAGGTGGAGGCTGAGTTTGACCCATGTCTCTAAATGCATCAGGTTGAGGCTGAGTTTGATTCATGTCTCTAAATGCATCAGGTTGAGGCTGAGTTTGACTCATGTCTCTAAATGCATCAGGTTGAGGCTGAGTTTGACTCATGTCTCTAAATGCATCAGGTTGAGGCTGAGTTTGACTCATGTCTCTAAATGCATCAGGTGGAGGCTGAGTTTGATTCATGTCTCAAAATGCACCAGGTTGAGGCTGAATTTGACGCAGCATCTTCTGAGAACCTTGCACAGCGCAGCGTGTGCTACTGCATCAGCCTGCCCGGCCAGCAGCCCTGGGTGTCTCAGGTACGCTCACGCCTTGATGGTCATGTCAGGTTGTGGATTGAACACTATTTGGGCACCACATGTGAGAGTGTTGATTAGTGTCACCCTGTTATATATAATGGGCTGCATCCTGCTGAAAACAGGTTTAAGTATTGTGAGGCTTAAGGGTATAGCACTGTTTTTCCACAAGTTTCATTGACATGCGAGGGTTATACAGGTAACAAGTTTTCATTAAAGATACTACTTCTTTGACTGTCATGCCAACATATTACTACGGCAATGAGTACTACATCTCTATGCCCATGCGCCTTCTGCACACTGGTACTGTCTCAATAACGCTACTAGCCCCTATTATATGCATGGAGCCTTGGCCCCATCAAGACGGCGCGTTCTCATGTTATGCGCGCTCTTTTATACTAAAGCCACGAGCCACTGACATTAGTAGCTATAATATAACATTAAAATACCAAAATCCAGGGATGACAGGGGTTCCAACTGACATGAAAGAACCGTCAGATCTAATCACAAAAAATGCCAAAATCAAACTCTCCTTCAGAATAATTTCTCTTACTGGATATATCCATATTTCGTGACGTCTGAATGTTGTGCATGATCCCTGCAGACGCTGCTGAGTCAGACGAGAAATCGTGCATTCAATGGAGCGCTGGACGTGAGTTGTTCGAGCAGCGGCTCATGCAAGAGAACTTTGGACGATGAAACAGATCAGATGGAAACAGATCAGTAAGTCACGTGTTTATCCTAATAGAGCTTGTAGTTATTTCAATTTTTTTTATTCTTGATATAACTCAATCTGTCTCTTATACACATCTAGATGTGTATAAGAGACAGGCATGTTCGTTCTCATTCTNGGTGTAATCTGTCTAGACCCCAGCCTCTCGGCAACCGACCTGAATGAAGAAGACTCCTGCCCCATGGAAGACACGAGGGAACCTGCTGCTAAACTTCCTCCTTCGTTGGTACCCAGGTAGGGAAGGCATCTTTCTCGGCTGCTATTACCTTCCCTTGCACATCAGACTAGCAAAATCTCCTGTATAGTGGTTATCACTTTCTGATGCCATGTCAAGCAACTTTTTGAGCCGATCTAATCTTTTGGGTCTTGGGTTGGAATACCCTCGAAAAGCACCTAGGATCATTTTATACTATTTTACAACGCTGTCTACACTCCTTACCGAATTATTATGTTCCATACTAAGAAATACTGCGTTCACACCGAAAAAAATTGTACGTTTTGGGAAGAGTTATGATGATGAGTGCGAGCAAACTTCTATTCTAAAGTGCCATGGATTGTGAAATCAATGTTCAATGATAATTTGATACATTTGACTCAAACGTAACTTCAACTTCATTCCTTGCAACTTAAGATTGAGTGACTGGAAAAGAGAGGGCGCTAACAGATGTAGCCATTATTATGGTTGCAATAAATTGTACGGTATCTTTTGAACTCCTTCTAAATGATGACTCTCTGAAAAACCTAAGTCAATTCTATGCACGCAACCTGAATTGGTCTTCAATCATCCACATTTATCCACTGAATTCAATCATAATTTTCTTGATGTGAGTTCATCCCATTTAACGACCAAGCAGTTAATAATGAGTTGATATAATTTTTAAAAATTCTTTTTAAGACTTCGTGTATGAGGAAATAACATCTAGATTCTAGCCTTAGCACAACTGGATTTATGTTGGAAACTAAGTAATAACTTGTCACTTGCAAATCAATTTGAATATCTGGCGTTCTCACCAGTGGATGGTGGTTATGTGGACGAAGAGACCAGAGAATTAGGCTCTGGACATTATTATAGGGTGTTCACCATACTGCATCTCGGCTGATATTGTCAAATATGAGCTATATCCGCTGCGTGTATTTTGTTCATATCAGTACTTATAAGTCTGTTTAAATCGCAATTCACCAAGAATTTAAAAACAAATAAAATGCTAATTAAACGCACCATATTTTCATTGAATTGTTCCAGGTACAAGCTCCATCATAAGTTCATAAATTAAAAAAAAAATAAAATTGGTACAAATTTTCCATGCTTCTAAATTCGTGTTGTTGATGTCACTGTTGTTGGGCAGAGTGCACTGTTTGCAGCACCGCCCCCTGGCTCACACCAACCCCCTGCTGCCTGTCATCGACCCTCTGCCCAGCTGGTCCGCTGATGCTTGGGGCGAGCCACAATTTATTTTCTACTTTTCAGTCCACAAGAAGAACATGGTTTTTTAAGAATTTTTTTTTAGTATTTTATTTAAATATTAGTACGGACCCTGTATATAAAAAAATTGTAAAATTTGCCTACTGACCTATGAAGGTAGATAGTACGCAGCTAAGCATGCATTATGCCCAGCACTTAATTGCAAAGAAACGTTAGTGAACCGTTTCACCACCTTGTGATGACTAGATAATTTTCTCATCGTCATCTCTTTCAGGACATGAATGTTCACGGCCAATTTCCTCTGAACATCTCCGGCATCACACCTGAGCTCGCCAGCGCCGGCTTCACACGCCGACTTTACTCGTTGCTGCAGCGACTGTCAACTCACGCAGTCATGCTGCCTCTCACCATTGATAACCTCAACAAGATGCCTGTTGTGCCTAAAAAGGTGATGATTACTTATAATATCCATGCTTGTGATATCCGTTCGAAAAAACAACACTATTAAATAACCATAAAATCCCTCTGGTCATTTGCACAAACCTTTTTTTTTCTCTCTTATTGTTTGGGGTGCCAAACTCTCTCAATTGTACTGGGAAGAGTTTAAATGCCTCTGTTGTACTAAATGTGCTGTAATTATTTTTTTTACAATATTTGTTTTTCAATTAAGATAAAAAGTAACCGTTTATAGTTACTTGCTGTTTGTGTCTAAACCTACAAGAAACCAGTTGACTATTGGTTGCTTGAGATTTACAATAACATTAGAATACCTGCTCCCAGGACTACAGCAGCAACGAGCTGCGCAGCGGACTGCTGCAGTTGCCACGCCACACGCTCCTCTGCGTCGACGAGACCGTCATGCAGGCCGGCCAACTCGACGCTACGGGCGTCAGGAATCTCGAGCAGGTATGTACATTTATACTATACTATAATCATTTATACATCATACTACTCGAGCTGGTACATACATTTATACTATACTTCATACTACTGGAGCAGGTATATACATTCATACTATACTGTAATCATTTATACTATACTTCATACTACTCGAGCAGGTACATAGATTTATGCTATTCTATAATCATTTATATTATACTTCATACTACTCGAGGAGGTATATACATTTATACTATACTATCTCCATGTGGGGTAAGCCAGATTTTGCCGAGCGGAGCTTGAGTAATACCGTATGCAGAGAATCTAATTGATACGTTTCTACAGAAGAGCTTTTCTGTAATCTCACACGCATGTATGTAGAACTCCCGCGCTGTGCAGAGTAGAATTATACCCCCCTCGTCTCTTCTACCGCTCATCTTTAAATGGCTAAAGTAATGCTGACACAAAAGGGCTGATTGTATTGCGTTTACATTTCAATTACATGCTTCAGAGGCGGTAAATGAACGAGTAGAGCGGTTTTATTGTGTTCTAGAATTTCCTGTCTTTGCATCGTTATATTGTCAGGTATTTATTGCCTGTATTTATGTTTTATGTGTAAAGATTGCAATCTAATAAAATTTAATCGATAAAGAGTAATTGTTTTGTCTTAATCCAAAGTTGGTAGTTTCATAGAAATAATATTTTACTTTGGATCCCAGATTGGTAACGTGATCAGCAACCAACAATGCAAGTATGACTTCCAGTTTCATCACATTGAGATGCCAACGAACATCAACGTGCTGGTTCTCTCTGAAGGAAAATCGCTGCTACCAAGGTAAGCGATGAAGTGCTGCCTCCATGTTGGCTTCGTTGAACGCAAAAATCTGCTAATTATTAATAACAAAAACTGTCCAGATTACACTAATTTGATCGATTTTTATAGTACTAGTACTAACTACTAAGATCTAGAATTACTGTGAGATTTGAATATAATTAAAGATAATATAAAGACGATTTCCCGTTCCCCAGATTTAGGAACTTTATTGGATTGACATTCCGTTGAAATTTGTTTGATAAAAGCCCTTCTTACGTATATTCATTCATCAACAGAAATTAGCTTACAAAATATACTGAAGGTCATTTGTTCATGTTTTGATGCAGTGAGAGCGAAGTTGTTCTGAGACCAGCTCATGACGACGTGGATAAAGCGTTCACTTCAGTCGAGTCCAAGCTTACAGAAGAAGTCTTGGAAAGTCTGAGAAAGTACATTACTCTAGCGAGACTGGCCGACTACCGAATGCCTTCGCACATCCAAGAGGTCTGGCTTGTTGAATATGTTGAGTGGTTTTCTCATCCTAATTAGTGTTGTTCAATAATCTTGAAATTAATTAGGAAATCATCGTTGCTACGTGCATTTTTTATGATATGAACTTGGATAAGCAGAATAAATTTGTGAACGACCATTAGCAACGTTAGAATTAGCGGATTAAATTTTCGGTAAATGTCAACTTAGTTGATTGATGCAATTCCGATTTCAGTTTCTTCAAGACGAGTTCGTGAAGGCCAGAGAACGGAACAAAGAGGCCATGTCTCCAGAAAGGTTCCACAGTCTGCAGGTTTTATCAAGGTCAGACCCGCTCGCTTATTGCAATTGTGACTTAACCATTTTCAGCAAATTTGCAATCTTGTAACTGAATGACCTGTTGAATTCCAAGTGAATATTTCATTAAACAGAATGTCTACGGCCTACGATTTATAGTCCATTACGCAAAAGTCGTTACCCAATTAACTTGAAACCTCGAAACAAATAGCTATATAACCTCTACAATACAGGCTGCTCTGCAAGAGCTGCGGCGAGCTGGAGCTAACCCCGGAAATATGGCACAGCGCCACCGTCCTGGACGACAAACGCGCTGAGCGAATCACCGCCCTACAGAGGCCTGCTGCGCGGATTAGCGCGCCAGCTTTCCGGTGAAAATAAGATGCCAACTGTACGCTATTCAGCGATCCGAACATCAATATAATTTTCGTTTTAGCCAGATAATATGGTCGATTTATGAAAATTTTTTGAATGTAGTCCAAAATTAGATCTGCCACACATGTCCCAGCCCAATGACCGAGAATCGGAAATATTTCTAGAAAAAATCATCCAACACGATATATTTCCCATCAACACAAAATGTATTAAAACATCATTAGAAGTTCACATTATCACGAGCAAGGAAAATAAAACCTTCTATGCATCTATCGTTTTAATACAAAATTAAGAAACTTTCAAAAAATATTTGTACAACTGAAAATAATTATTTCATTCTGTATACTTCTCGCGACTGGTCATATTGGTGCGGCTAATTGATGGTTATTTTTTTTTGTACAAATTTTGAGTCAATTCTTTTGACTCGCTACTAATCGGTAACACATTGCAATGGAAAAAAATATTGCACTAAGACTAAAGTCTAACATTTGCCACACTTTTCAACCGTTAAATTCCCTCACACGATCAATGACAGGCGTTTTCTATGATCACTTCAACAGCGCATTGATTCCTTGTCAGAAAATGATTACCGCGTTCTTAACGAGGAGCATCATCTCTTCGGCTCATTCAATTAGTTATTAGCTTGAAATTTATTCATCGAGGAAAAGCTTGTCCGTACATTCATATTCATTATCTTAGATAATTTAGTAGTCGTTTATTTACTTAGTGCATAACGGACTGCGAGCACGTTTGTAACAAAAAATGTACTTCCATATTTAAATAAATGAAGATCTTTTTCAGACTGAGTTAAAAAACCGCTGCATCCCCGGTAAGTCGTTAAAAAATTTTTTTAGACTAAAATCATCGGCCTAGAATTTCCAAAAGCCTAAAAACTTTAACCGTTTATAAATATTTATTTCCCGAAGTTGATAGAGAAAATAGCAGAATTCCACCTTACCAACTAACGATTTAAAATAAAAAAGGTTATAACCAGCCCTAAGCTAATCGTTGCCTCCACTAGCCATATGCCTTCACAAAAACCCAGTTGGTCAGTCATCTGACACAGGCGACCAAGCTAGCCAGAGTCATCAGACACAGGCGACCAAGCTAGCCAGTCATCCGACACAGGCGACCAAGCTAGCCAGAGTCATCTGACACAGGCGACCAAGCTAGCCAGTCATCTGACACAGGCGACCAATCCAACCACAGTCCTCTGACACAGGCGACCAAGCCAGCCACAGTCATCTGACACAGACGACCAAGCCAGTCAGAGTCATCTGATACAGGCGACCAAGCCAACCACAGTCATCTGACACAGACGATCAAGCCAGTCAGAGTCCTCTGACACAGGCGACCAAGCCAGCCACAGTCATCTGACACAGGCGACCAAGCCANTTTCTCGTCCGTCCGTCCGTGAAGTCACGGACAGACAGTCGGACGGAAGGACATGACGAACATAATAGCGCCTTTTTTGCATATGATGATAAAATGCTACTGCGGTGAGTGACAGAGAGCGCATTTTCTCGTCCGTCCGTCCGTGAAGTCACGGACAGACAGTCGGACGGAAGGACATGACGAACATAATAGCGCCTTTTTTGCATATGATGATAAAATGCGCTAATAAGAAAGTACATATGTAATGTTTCCTTGACATAGGCATGAAATGCCAAAATAACTTTACAGCCAGTAGCTAACTTTGAAGTTGAAATTAAGATGCACTAGCAGCACTACCGAATGTTTTTTACGAATATTCAGAAGCCTAGTCAATATGGGAACACAACGCCAACTCACGATAGGTTGCCGAGTGATCTTTTGCAAATCTTTGATGTTATAATACTGATGTTTTTCGAAAGCGTTGAAAAGAACTTCCAGAACTTTATCCTTATCTTCTCGAGCTTTCTTGCCCTCTGACTCCTTCTGCCTTTCCTGTGCCACCTTGTGGGGATGGAAGGACTTTGGTTTGTAGACGTTGGCAGGCCGTTCAATCGCAATGGCTTGTCGCGCGGGAGTCGCAGCCGCTCGTTTCGTCTCGAGCTTCAACTTCAAATAATTATCGTCCACTGAAATGACACGTAATATATTCTCATTAAGATGGATCAGCAATATATCTTGCACAAATTTATGGTCAGGAAGTAGGTGCTATACTTCCGGGTACAAATGCTAAATAATCGAAATCTTTTGCTTAGCCGAGTTCCATCATAATTTATTGAAATATTACTGTATACAGTGCGTTAGTGGTGGGCACAGTCCGCTAATCTGCTAACCGCTAATTAGCGAAGCTGACGTTTTCCTTAGCTGGTGTGCCACAGTGATGGCTGACTACGTCAACCAATCGCGTCTTGTGTAACAAAAGACGTGATGGATTACACAAGACGTGATTGCCTGACGTACATATGTTGACGTAGGTCAGCTTCGCTAATTAGCGGATCAGCGGACTGTGCCCACCACTGCAGGGCGTTTGCACTGTGCCCACTAACTTAATTTGCAACACAATTTACAAGCACTATTAATATTGCTAAACTATTTTCAAACGGAAACCTGCGACTTCATTAACAGCGTGTGAGGGTAGAGTTGAAGGAAATTATTGGCTGACAGCAAGTGAACAAACCTGAAACTACGAAAAGGTTATTTCGAACTGATCACATCACTAATCTGCTGTTAGTGGTCCTCTATAATGCGGGTACTCACTGACAGGCTGACACTCGTACTTCCTGACGACCTGTCCCTCGAAGGATATGTTGTACTGGCCTGCTGCCCCATCAGCAGGACCGCCCTCCAGCTTCTGCGCACCTTCTGTAGCCGCTGTTATAGGAGAATAACATTCAACAACGTACCATAATAAACGGCGTTCGTAGGCTCAATACTGTATTAATTTAAATTACAAATAGTAATATTATTATATTACACAATATTAGCCAAAAAATCTTCAAATTGCGACAGTAAAGCCAGTTGCTTTCAACCGCAAAACAAGCATGCATGATAAGAAATCAACTAAAAAAATCTTTCTACTCTCCGTTTCATGTTATAGTCATAGTGATGTCAATTTATCATGTTATAGTCATAGTGATACCGGCGCGGAAGAATAGGTAGGCCTGATGTGGCCTGTCGCCACTGATATAGATAGATAAAATGATGTATATAATGCTAACATTTAGGTAAGGAGAAGACCCCCAAGCACTGCTTGATGTCGTGCGAGATGAACTTGTGTTCCCGGGGCAGTTTGTTGGCCGCCACGAGCGCCTCGTTCATGGAGAACGTGATGGTGGGCGCCCTCTGGCCTGGGTGCCTTAGACGCGTGCAGAGGTATAATGTATACTTGGCATCAATTACAAAATGCCGGGGTATGAAAACTTAGTGATCTTCGTACTACAAATTGGCATATATTACAATTGAAAGTTGAGAAAATTATAGCACAATATAATATCAGAAGCTATCATTGAAAATTTCTATGTGATCGTAAGTGGTAACTGATAACTAAGAGTGGTAGTTCACCAACTTAACGTAAACGCTTCCCTAATAAAATATGAAGAGCTTCGCTCGTGTTACAAGAGCAAGTTAGTTGCATCAACACACGGACTGGGAAACGCCAAGCCCACAATTGTCAAAATATAATATCAATTACTCAATGCATGACTACCATTCCACGAGGAAAAATTCGTGTAAAACTGCCAGTAATGCGAAATTTCTATTTTTACCTTTTGAAAAATATTTATTGATCCAAAGAAGTATTCAGCTGGAGATACGCTCAAGGACTCACTTGACGACCCTCAGACGACCGACCTCGTGGTCTCCGCTGTTCGCTGACCAGCTCTCGCGGATGAATTTTGGAACCTGCGGGAGTGAAGCAAGAATCACAAGACGTTTATTTACAACAAAGATTTAGAAATTGACAAGCCTTTTCTTGATCTTTATAGCAGCTGAAGGGTGTAAATGTCATTCACTTTATTTCGGGATCTCACAAGCAAATTAGTCAATCACACTCACCTTGACGAGCCATACTTCTTGGCCGACGTTCGAGACATCAAGGGTGCGTTCACCATGACCACTTGTTTTCGACATAGGTTTAAAATTGAATATAAGTACCGAATATATTAAATTTAAAATCTGGATTGACTAGGGAATATATAAAAAATCTGCGTTGAGGATGACTCGGTTCAGGTTTATCTCAGGTTTCAAATAACTTCATGATCGGTTTCACTTTGGGTCAATTTCACTCAATGGTCCAAGCACACTAAAATATGACTACTACTCAGCCAGTTTAAAACCATGAACATGAAAAAAATACTTGAATCAAGCAACTCATCAGGTATTAAGCACCTTCACCAACCAAATCAACAAGTAAACCAAGATGACAATCAGGGCACGAAAAATGCGCGAAACTTAAAGAAAAACTATACAGCTTCGATCTTCTAAAATCAGTTGATGTGAAAATCTGCCTGTAAATTGATACTTTTACAGGATTATTAGATCACTTTGACAGGATAATCCTGCCAAAGTCCTATCGGACTTGGACCTATCCTATCCGACAACTTTGTCCTATCCTATCTTCTATCGGACAAAGTTCCTGTCATAGTCCGATAGGACTTTGACAGGAACTTTTGGAACCTATGTCAACACAAAATTCCCGAGCTACCTATCATAAGAGGCTGGGACCCCAGGGCTCGCCAGTTCCCTTCAGCGCTCAACTGAACGCCTCCCTGGGGGGAATGACATCACACTCAAAAGAATGTGTCACATTGTCCAAAATAATGACCCACTTTTCTTACCTACAGCACGAGCAGCGTGCACAGCACACACATCGGCGAGTAGTTATTTGGCATTATGTATTTCCGAGCATATCTCCTTCACGCATATTATCAATACAAGAAATATTGGAGGGTTACTGATTAGAAAATTAACACATTGATAACTAGAAAATTGTCCATCGCCATTTCGTGTTATCAGCAATAGAAATCAGTAAATGTTCGAGTTGTCTTAGTTATAATCTAAAGAAAACTGGATCACAAAAATATAATGAATTTCAATGCACAATTTCGCAACTTATCACTCTGCACCAAATTAATTAATTACCGTCACAAAATGAAGTAAATAAAACTATCATCGTGAACTCAACATTTATTCGAACTCAGACTGGAAATGTCAAGCACGATGTTCCGCTAGCAAAAAAAAATTAACAACTTTCAAAATTACGTCATGAATGTCGTTTCGAGAGGAAGAAACATTTTACTTTTTTGCTGAGAGCGATTAGTGATACAGGGGATGTAATAGAGCCTCTAAAGCTACATTAGAGCGCTGTACTGAAGCGTGCAAATAGGGCTTCTCACAAATACTGTTTGAAAAAATATTTCCAATATTAAATGAAGAAAGCATTTTTTAATAATCATTCTTGTAGTGAAGATAATAAATTGAGTGAAATAAGAATAAAGACAACAGTTACAGAATGAGTGAATCAAGATAACACAAAGCAACCCTACGGGAGCATTACATTTGAATTTATCATGGCTCTACAAGTTTGATATCGCCTAGCAGAAGATGGGCTAGACAGAGGCATTCCAAAGTTCCTCCGTAATATTGTACGTTGTATTCACAGAACAATCTTAAACTGCAATCATGATGAACAGGAATATTGGAATTCCACAAAGATGATCATCATGTAAATAAGTGTAACAAAAAACCAATTGGAAATAACTTTCCAAAAGAATATCTAAAATAGCAGCGAGAAATTTGACAAGCAATTATTTAGTTGATCAACGACAGAAGAAATTCGACAAGCAGTCATTTAGTAGATCAACGGCAGAAAAAATTTGACAAGCAATCATCTAGTTAATCAAATATCCTAGAGACATATTTTTGGGACAGGTGTCTTAGAATTACATTGCATTCTACTGCCCAATCAATCTCTGAAATGATAAGTGGGTGCCTCTATCAAAGACCATTTAACCGTTTCACTGAATTATCAGGCTGAAATATCCGGGATTAAAAATTCCAACTAGTGAACACCAGTTTTTTGACACATTCTTCACAACTGAAAACTTCGAAATCTAAATTGATTATTTTAATAAGTCTCATTGTACTACATTGTACTGAAAAAAAAAAATCGCCCGTGAGTTCGTGTTCTCAACACTAACAAAGTTCAACAATCCTTGCCGTAAAATAATCACAATTTTACAAAAATCATGCCTTAGAATCATATAAGTCTATCCAACTACAGTATCCATAAGCAGATACCACATTTTGGCGACACTAACAGTGTGGGAAAGTTTCAGTCTAGCGCTTGTTCTTCTTGCTTTGTGTAATGTCGGTACTCGGGCTTGAGCTCCCATGTGTTGCGGTGTGGAGCTTTCATGTTGTAACTGCAAACCTCAGTCAGGATCTCCTTCAGGAACGTCTGTGAATAATAATGAACCTTTGTAAACAATAATGCATAAAATACAAACAGATTTTCGAGCACAATAGGTCTTTATTGAATATCAAGAGTTAGGAAGTTATTTGACATTGAAGCTTTATTAAATTATCAGGATACATTCATTTCCATTCCCCAGTAGAACAATTTGCTTTACAAACACTGTCTGTACTTACGGTAAACTAAAGATAAAAGGAAATTCAATTAACATAATCATTGCCAAAAGTAATCATTTTAATGGGATCATTGTGCATCTGACACCGTAATGACGATGGATACTTACAATCGGTTGTTTGGTGATTTTCTGCAAGTCTTTGATGTTGTAATACTGATGCTTCTCAAAAGCAGCAAAAATCATCTCAAGGACCTTGTCTCGATCAGCTCTGAAGTTCTTGTTGACGTTACTGCTGCGATCTCTGTCTTCGAGCGTGTGCTGGTGACGTGAGATAGGCTTGAAGACATTGATGGGTCTATCAATGGCAATGGATGTTCGTAAAGGAGTAGCGGCCGCTCTCATCACTTCTTGCTTCAGACGAACGTAGTCGGCGTCCACTGTTGAGAATAATAATTTAGTTTGATTATTCATTTCATCTGGCAGATTATGTTTTTGGTTATAATCAAGACGTCAACACAAGTAGTAACTTGATATTATAGTTTTTAGGGAGCTTTGAAATCAGCTTACAGCTTAATTAGACTTGATCATCAATTAATTCAGGTTGTATTACAAATGAAAACAGATATGATATGAAGAAGAAATTAGCTTGTTATAAATTTGTATTTACTTTAATTAAAGTTGTTGAATAGCTATAATGGTGTTTCAGTGAACTGTAGAGTTAAAGACAACATAGAAAAAGTACCAAGAAATCCAAAATTTAAGAATATTTTCCACTTACTGACAGGTTGGCACTCAAACTTCTGAATTATTTTTCCCTCCAAAGAGACTTTGGTTGAGCCAGGCTCGCATCCCGGCGTGGTATCTGAAATAAAGACAAATCGATATATCTTTCTTGTGAAGTCAAAGGGTTGCAGCAATGCAAGTAGAGATTGATAGACATGCATTGGCACCAACTAAACATGCCACCTAAGCCACAGAAAATTCTACAAATTGAAAAGAACTTTAAAAATAAATATTAATGTGATCAATGGTCATATATGAACATTGAACAAATATAACATGAGCTAAATGAAAACAATTCCCTTATTACCAAATGTTCATAAGGCATGAAGAAAAAGGTTAAATGTTCATAGATGAATTGAGACGATTCTTCATTGTGTTTAATACAAATATTGTATTGTTGCACATTCAATAGAGAAGATCTCAGCACGCACGTTGCACTCAATCCAGACACATGCCTTTAAACAAAGGAAATGTTTCTACCATTCATGATGTATGATTTCAGAAAAACGTTGAATTTATGTAATTTTTTATCACCATGGACATTTCAAGACAAATCAGGGCCTGTGCATGCAACACTCTAAGTAGCAGCAAGTTACAATTAGGATGTCTTTTCCTTATTTTCACATATATTTGTTTCACATACCTCAATACTGGCTGGCAGAAAAAATACATATGTTGTAGGAATGTGTTGTAAATCATAATACTGAGAGGAAAGTAAAAAACTACTTTGGCAATGGGATAAATCATTGTGGTTTTACAAATATTTTGATGGCAATGGGTGCTTCTACACGGGGCGAGTAGTTGAGTTGACTAGTCAACTCCACAAATATTTGTGATGATTGACGTCTTCAGAGGCAACTATCTGGTGCATTGCACGCAAAGCACTTCAAGTTGTTCTGAGCCAGTCAAGTAAGCTTAGTACTGCCATGGCAGCTGTAGTGTGCACAACTGCACACTCTCATTTGCTCCCACCATGTACACCTTACTCAACAACTGCCATCACTGGCAGACTGTACAAAAAAAAAAAACACTCTCCTCTTGAATAGGCTCTCAGCCGGCAAAACTGTAGTCGACTCTACTAATTGATGCGACTACCTACCCTGTGTATAAGCACATAATGGGATAGATCATTGTGGTTGTACAAATATTTTGATGGCAATAGGACAGATCATTGTGGTTGTAGAAAATGTTTTGATGGCAATGGGACAGATCATTGTGGTTGTACAAATATTTTGATGGCAATGGGACAGATCATTTACATGACCAAATATTTTGGTAACTATGGTATTACTTACAAAAGAAAAGCAAAGACTACAGCAATACTTACCAACAGTTTCAGAAATAACTCCCAGACACTGTTTAAGGTCGTGTTGAATAAATTTGTGTTGTCTGGGCATTTTTTTAACGCTTTCCAAAGTTTCATTTAAGGAAAATGCAATATTTGATGATCTCTTCTGAGGATGCCTGTATAGACATCAACACTTGCATGAAAATTGGTTAGAATTGGTCCCAATTGGTAGAACTTGTAATATGTGCTTGCAATGCAAGAATCTTGGAAGTTCCTACATTTCAATGAAGTAGTTAAATGAGATTTGTAGAAATGAAAATGACTGGCATGGGGATCATATTGTTTTCAAGTAATCAATACTTATAGACAAGAAGTTATAATTGATTTTAAATTGTGTACATTTTTCAAGATTAATACATATATTAGCAAATCTCAAATAAAATTGACTCAAAATGTACTATCTATGAGCAAGAGCAGATTCTTCAGGTACAAAATAAGTTAGGCTGATATGTATGTATGCAAAATATTATTTAAAGAAAAATATTAATCCTAATTGAAATCAAGAAATTGAGCAAGACAAAATACTACTATGCTGATTTGTTAAGATGTGAGCAAGATTTTGTCTGACTTCACTGCTGAAGAACAAAATTTTTGTTCACCATAATTCAAATTTTCAGAGTGCACAGTGTTGGACTTCCCAATAAAAAATGCAACTTGTAGAGATGTTCAACTCTAACTAATAAAGAATGCAACTTGTAGAGATGTTCAACTTTAACTTGCAACACTTGTAGAGATTTTTAACTTCATACTTCAGTTATAAATGCAGCTAGCTGATTATTTATAACTTAGTTCAAATAATCAAATAAGGGTAACGACTGTCACTCACTTTGTAATGGTCAGGCGTCCAACTTCTGTGCTTTCTTTATATTGGCTCCATTCCCGTTGAAGGAACTTGGGAACCTGAGAGAATAATAATAGAATAAATAAAATAACCTGGAGTAGTGCAAAAGATATCATGACTAGAAGTAGCAGAAATTGGTGGATTGATTTCAGCTTTCACACTTTTGGCAGAAAGTGTACAGTATAAAAAATGTAAATACTTCACACAGATATTTCAACAGAGGGTTACAGAATCTAGGCCTCTTGATGAGGCCCCCACTGATTCTTAATACTACCATGCTTCATTTTGCTACTGACAGCTCAGAGCAGCACAACTGATGAGGAAATAAAAAATTGTTAGAGGAGCTCAATTGCTCCTAACAAAACCCATACATCTTACTGATATTTTTCTAACTACTCCATCATATTGCTGGCATATTGGGCATTCAGAAGAGCTTGATGTATTTTGAGATAGTCTTGGTCAAAATTTGATAAATATTGACCTTAGCAAGTAGTCAAGCACTTAGTTTTATACACTATTCTGAAGTTTATTCTGAGCATAGCGATGAGACAGAAATCTACTAGTAGATTAACTCAAAAATTTTATTTTGAACAATGATGAAATATATGTAGGAATGGAAATTGGAAATGACTCTAGTTCTAAATTTACTAACTCACATTTCCTTAAGATAATTTGTAGCTCCAAACAGTTGTAAGCTTAAGTTTATTTATATTATATATATATATATGCTGCTAGTTGTGGTTTAGCAAGCTTTCCAGAAATAATTAAAAAAAAACAAAAAAGGTCCGCCTTTAGGTTCAAAATATACCTAGTACTCACTGTGGCATCTGGTAACAAGCATTCAAGGAATGAACTTGAAATTTGATAATTTTCCCACATATCAATAGTGTTGTGAATCAGGGCTACTCACCTTAACAAGCCAAATTCCTCGTGAGTTATTGTTAAGGTTGACATCTTTGACTGCGTGACCACTCATCTTGAAAATGAATATGCTTAAGAAAGATACAAATGATCAACTACAATTAGCTTACTGTTAAGGCACCTGCAATAAAACATGGTGATGAGAATTTTTAAATTACCAATATAAGAAGATGTGCATAAATAGATTTATGGAACAGATGAAAGAAAAACTTAGCTGTCTAGGTATGAACAAATTCATGAGTAGAAAGGACTAAAGTAAAGGCATGAACATTTATCTAACTACAAACATATATGAACTGACTTCCAACATTCCAAGATTATGCAACATCTCTTCCCAGGCATATTTGACAGTGCACTGAAGTTATTCTTCAAATAGTATTGAAACAGTTGGGAAAAAATTCAAATTATAATTAATTTTAATGAGCAAATAATTTTCAATAACAATCATTTTTAAATTTTCCCTGGCATAATGAAAAATGTCTTTTCAAGCACTTTCAGAAAAACACAAATAATCAAATTTTGTTTACCCACCATGTAATGCCCATCACATCTAAACAGGGTAAAATTTCAGAAATAGTGAATTGTATATTTACAAGCAATCCACTCTTCGACATAAACTCCAAGATCTTTTTCCACACTAGACTTTTCAATCATTACTCTCTCGTTGCAACCATGTCTTCTCATACTGTAATCTTGCTGTTCATTGTTCTTCCCACGGTGAAGTACTTTACACTTGTCAGCATTAAACTGCAGCTGCCATGTATCAGCCCAGTTAACTATACTGTCAAGATCATCTTGTAATTGCACTTTATTTGACGCATCCTTCACAGTATTATAAACCCAGCCTGTCCCTTAATAATAATAAAATGGAAGTTCTGAGATTGTTGAGAAGTGTCATGGTAGAGGTATACATTATAAACTTTAGTTGCCAATGATATTAGCAATTGATCCACTAAATTTACAATAGCCTGGCAAGATTTATGGAGTCTTTGCATAAATAGCATCCTTGTAAGATAAAGTAGAGAAAGCCTTAAATTCACAGGGCACTTTTGTCTTTATCACATTACAATGCTGCAACAACTTGAATTTGCATATAAATAAATGTAATTAAGGAATAGTGGCCGGCAATAAATTATAGCAATTATATACCACATAGTATAGCCTGCTAGCAATTTGAATACATTTTAATATGTGAGCAATAATTACTGCAAGCAGCATAAAGAATGTATATGAACCTAGAAGACCATGTCCTAGAAATGTTTCCTAAAAAGCTTCCTAAAATTGCAGATAAAAATGATCATCTCACAGGTAATTTCCAAAATTGAGAAGGGGTAAATTTTTATTTATTTATTTTTCTTAATGAATCAGGGAAAGGCTATAGGAATGTCTAAACAGTAGAAAATGGCCAGATTCATGCGCATTTCTTGTCCTATCCACAGGTGGTTTCTGCCCAATTTTCCAATTAGGACATGGAACATCTTATATACCTATGCCATACATCTTAACAAAAATTGTTTTTTCCCCTTCTGAATTTCAAGATGCCCAAGCAGATCATCCTGGAACCTAAAATATGCAATATAAGAACCACCATTCCTACTATGATAGAATTGGTGTCAAACCACAGAATTTTTAGAATTAGCTATTCTTTCATTTCTTCTACTCAAAATTTTAGTCAATTTTCTATATATTATGATACTGGTAACTATGATACTTTATTAGACTACTTAGTGGCAAACCAGATTTTTCAGTATCAGTTCATTTTTAATTTCATCATTTACTCACAATTTGAACCAATTTGTGTATGATAATGCTGGAATCTGTGCTAGAATCTAATTTATGATAATGCTGGAATCTTTTTAGGAATCTGTGGTTTGACACTATGCCACCATTGCTGGCATAAAGTTCCCCCACAGATTTTCTAGAATAAATTCTTCTTCAATTTTCTCTTCTACTCAAAATTTAAGCCAATATCTTATGTATGGATAATGCTGGTATCCATGATACTTTGCTGGTCTACTAATACTTATAAAACACAGAAAATAATGTTGAAGAAGAGTCTAAAAAAGTATCTGATTTGAGAGCACTCTACACTGCCAGAGTGTGCGGCAGCACAGGTCGCAGCCTGTTGAGTGACCTGAGTACCACCCGGTATGCCAATTTGGAATATAAGGCAGAAATTCCTAGAATCGTGGATAAAAACAATCTTTTCACTAGTGATTGGTAAAAAATTATGGATAAAACTAGGCAATTGTTAATTTTTTTGCAGTATAAATAGGGAAACACCCATTGGTCAACTCGAGTGCTGGCAGTGGTAGTCTGGGACCAGGGTGCAGAGTGCAGACTTAGCATGCAGCATTGCCATGATATGTATTTTTAGCCTAAAGCATCACCAGCCATTTTCAAGATGCATTGCTGGGTAATTTTTAATAAGAAAGTGCTGCAAGCAACTTTGATAGTACAGGGTGAACCAGAATTAAGTAACCCTTTTAATTTGTTAATAAATAAAAAACTAAGAACGTTATGAAGTTGAATCTTGTTTTATTTAAAAGAAGAACATTTTTATGGTATTATTGTATCCTAGTTTTTAAATATAATATATTTTAAATGCCCACCACAATTGTTTTGACAAAATAGGGCTCTTCTCTTCGTTGCTTTCATAACCTTCATTAGTAATTTCCCGGTATCCGCAATTTTTTGATAAAGAGATTTAATTGTTTTTTTTTTTTTTTTTAAGGACTGATTCTTGTTTTGAAATTGATCCTGTAATCACGTTGAACTTCTGTTATTGACATCGTCCTGATGTAGGTTTGCAGAATTTTTGTTCTTTCTTCTTTGCTGTAGTGAATCATGATGAAAATTTAAGGCTTGATAATTAAACACAAATTTAGCAAGCTATACAGGATAATGACGTAACTATGATACCTACAATATTACCATAAAAATGTTCTTCTTTTAAATAAAACAAGTTTCAACTTCATAACGTTCTTAGTTTTTTATTTATTAACAAGTTAAAAGGGTTACTTAATTCTAGTTCACCCTGTATATCCTTTACTATCCACGCACTGCAACACTTACACTCATCATAACTAATTTCTGGACAAGCTTCACTGCATCCTGATCCATCCAACTTACCAGAAACCTTACTGTGTGCACTTGCAGTCTTTCAGACTTGCAGTAATTGCAAAGTAATTTCTAAAATGCAATAACTTCAATCAAAATGTGTTGGCAAGATCTTCTGAAGGTGCAAATTTTGCTGCTGATGCATCGCCAAAGATCTTTTGATATTCACCCACTTTCAGCATCCTGGATCTGGGAAATGGGGTAAAAGGGATGGTTTTGAGCATTTTTCATAAATAACTTCTTGCCATGAACCATTTCATAAGCAAGATTGGGTTCATTTTAAATGTATTTGCAAGGGCTTTTGTATGACATCTCTGAAAAAATTCCATATGCTATTTGTAAGGTGCCAGAAGCAAATGAAAGCCTCCTGAAGTAACCCTGGGAACAGGGTAATAAGGGACACTTGAAAAAATTACTTTTAAAACAATTGAAGCATGCAGAGTGTACTTGTCTATTACTAACAGTACTCTGAAGTCTTCCTCTTCCATTGAAGACTATGTAGATGTAGAATAAATAACATTTTCTGTAATTTTTCCTCATTTTTTGTTTATTGATATATTACCATATCCATCCATTACCACATTATTGATGTGATATAACCTAATCCATGGACATGCCAAAAAATTGCAAAAAAAAAAGACTAGTTCTGGCATGATGGAGCATAGAGAGTAGGCAGATGAAGCCAACGTTTGTCAAGGCAACTCTCTAAAGTATCCACAGATGGTGTGCTTTGGTGACATTCTCTGGCAAGCTGTTCCAGTTTGTGACAATGTCTGAGTCCCCTTAGTCGGCGGTGTTCCAAGCATGGTAACTTCAGCGTCTTGAACCTATCTGAGTAGGGCTTGTCTTTTAGTGATGCCAAGAGTTTTGTTGCTTGCCTCTGGACGTCTTCTATATCACTACATAGAGTCTTGTGTGCTGGTTGCTACACACAGTGCCTGCACTCAAGAAGTGGGTGTACCAAGCTCTTAAACAGTTGAATGAATGTCTTTTCGGTTAGGTGATCAAAAGTTCTGCGAATGATGCTGACGACTTTGTTTGCCTTTGCTGAGCACTGAGCAAAATGCTACTTGAAGGATAGCTTATCTATTATCACTCCCAGATCCCTCTCCACATCACCCACCACTAATTCCAGTCTCTTATCTTGTTTATTCATATAGTAAGTGCCTTGGGACTTCTGCCTGACTAGTTTGATCACACTACACTTCTCAGGATGAAATTTCAGTAGCCACCTATTTGACCATGCCTGCAGATGATCAAGGTCTTTTTGTGTGTTGTCAATGCCATCTACTGTGTCTGTTATTGCGAAGAGTTTCGTGTCGTCTGCAAACATTCCTACATTGCTACGGACACCATCTGGTAGATAGTTAATGAACATTATGAACAAAATTGGTCAAACACAGACCCCTGGGAATCCTGCTTGTTACATCTGCTTTCTGTGATTTTGCTCCATTAACGATCACTGTCTGCTTTCTGTCTGACAAAAAGTTGTGAATCCAAGCAAGTATGTTTCCTCTGATGCCCAATGCTAATACTTTCGCAAGCAATCTTCGAAGAGGGACACCATTGAACGCCTTTTGATAATCCATGTAAATTACATCCACTGTCCCACCCTTATCAACAGTGCTTGACCAAATGTCCATGACATCTAGTAAGTAGTTGGGTTACGCAGGAATGTCTAGGTACAAAACCATGCTGATGTTTGCTAAGTAGGTTATTCTGCTCCAAGTGTTTCAGGACCTGCTCCCTAACCAGCCTCTCCATTACCTTGCACAGGATGCATGTTAAACTTACAGGGCAGTAGTCTGCTGCTGCTCTGCTTCCCTTCTTGAACACCGGAGTTACCGCTGCCTTCTTCCAATCTGCAGGAATCTGCCCTTTTTCTATCAAAAGTCTGAATAGGCATGCCACTGGTTCCACAAGTTCATCTGCTGCAGTCGCTAGTACGATAGGAGGGATTCCATCTGGTCCTGATTCCATCTGGTCTCACACCCAAGTTTT